ACCAGTTCGTGGTCATGCCATTCGGACTGTGTAACGCTCCTCAGACCATGTGCCGCTTGATGGACGAATTAATTCCTGCTGATTTAAGAAGATGTGTGTTTGGTTACCTCGATGACCTAATTGTCGTTTCTGAGGATTTTCCAACCCATTTAATGATCCTAATGAGGATAGCCGAACAATTTAAAAATGCAAATTTAACCATAAATGTGTCCAAAAGTAATTTTTGCGTCACAGAGACGAAGTATTTAGGGTTTGTAATAGGTCACGGAGGCCTTAAAACCGACCCAGAAAAAGTCGAATGCATTCTCTCTTGGCCTATTCCAAAGAACCTTAAGCAGGTCCGCGGTTTCTTGGGTCTTTGTGGATGGTATAGGCGTTTCATTCACAATTTCTCGTCTGTAGTATATCCCATTACTGAACTTTTGTCAACCAAAAGGAAGTTTGGTTGGACAAAAGAAGCTGATGAAGCATTCAACAACATTAAGAAACTTTTGACCTCCGCACCGATTCTAATAAATCCGGATTTCTCCAAAAAATTTTATATTCACTGCGACGCCAGTGATTATGGAATTGGAGCTGTCTTAGTGCAGTTGGATGAGAATGATGATGAGAAACCAGTAGCCTACATGTCAAAAAAGCTTAATTCCGCACAGAGGAATTATAGTGTGACAGAAAGAGAGTGCTTGGCTGCTGTAGAGGCTATAAAGAAGTTCAGGTGCTATGTTGAACTTCAGCCTTTTGAAATCATTACAGATCATTCCAGCTTAATCTGGTTAATGAAGCAGCAAGATCTGACAGGTAGACTTGCAAGATGGGTTTTTAAACTCCAAAGTTATAAATTTACCTTCAGTCACCGAAAAGGAAAGGACAACATAGTACCTGACGCTTTATCCCGTATGCATTGTGATGAAGTCTCCGCCATAGATTTATTTGAGCCAGAAATTGATTTGACATCCACACATTTTAATGACTCAGACTATACATCCCTCAAGGAAAAGATTCTAGCAAATCAGTCTAAATATCCAGACATAAAAGTCGTTGATAGTTTCATATACATTAGGACGGAGCACTACAGTGGTGATCCAGACCAAGAGGAATCAGCATGGAAGTTGTGGATACCCCTAAACATGCGAAATGACGTCATAGCTAGATTCCATAACAGTCCGACAGCTTGTCATGGCGGTATGTTGAAAACCCTTGAACTGATTCGAAGAAGTTTCTTTTGGCCAGGTATGATAAGAGACGTTCGAAATTATGTAAGAATGTGCGAAACTTGCAAAACAACAAAAGCGCCGAATCAAGTCTTAAAGCCAGAGATGGGAAAAGAAGTTTCGTCCATTCGGCCATTTCAACGTATATATGTTGATATCTTGGGTCCTTATCCAAGAAGTAAACGAGGAAACATTGGCTTGCTAATTGTCTTAGATCACTTCTCAAAGTTTCACTGGCTTTGCCCATTGAAAAAGTTTACTTCGTCAGATATACAGGAGTTTTTAATGAAGCAAATTTTTCATGTATATGGTGTGCCTGAAGTGTTGGTCAGCGATAATGGATCGCAGTTTAAATCAAACGAATTGAATGCTTTTTTGACTGCCTCAGGTATCTCACACGTATATACTGCACTATACTCTCCCCAGTCTAATGCGTCTGAACGCGTAAACCGCTCGATTTTAGCTGGTATTAGGTCATTTTTAAAAGGAGACCACCGACTGTGGGATGAGAATTTAAGTTCTATCAGCTGTGCACTAAGGAACTCCATACACCAGGCGACAAAATATTCTCCATACCATTCGTTATTTGGTTTCGATATGATAACCCACGGTTCTTCTTACCAACTACTCCGAAATCTACAAATGTTAGATGAACCATGTAATATATTATCCCGTGATGACAGTTTAAAAATACTAAGATCTAATATCAGAAAACATATCTTTGAAGCCTATAAACGAAATCAATCTCAATATAATTTAAGAGCAAGACCAATTTCTTTCGATGTAGGTCAAGAAGTCTTCAGAAGAAACTTCGCACAAAGTAATGCAGAGAAGTCATTCAATGCAAAACTTTCGCCTTTGTTCATCAAGTCCAAAATTAAAGAAAAACTTGGTCAAAATTATTATGTATTAGAAGACATGAACGGCAAACTAGTCGGAACCTTCCACGCGAAGGATATCCGAACATAAATGGTCTCCAATTAATATTGCATAAAATAACGCAATATTACTTGGTTTGTAATGATTAAATTTTTAGAATCTTAAAAAAATACAGTATTTTCCATATACCCTTATCCGAATTGGCATCCCTATAAAATTACATTTTTTCTAATGCAACTATGCAATGATAAGCAAAAGAAGTTGCTAAATTCTTGTCATCTTATGTTCAAAAGAAAATAAAAAAAACCGACCTTTAGACTAGCGAAATGGTCTAACACAAATTCTTTTTCTCTCAACACTCAACAAGCAAAGAAGTAAGAAGCTGAAGTGATCTTGAAATAACCTTTAAATAGAATACTACTGATCATCATTATCAGTTAATTATCAAGTGAATCTCAATTTATAAATTTAATAAACTTTCTTTCCTTTTGTGGCAAAAATATAAAAGGTAATCCAATATCCTAATGATCCAGTAATTGGTTTTGTGTTTTACCGTGGCTAATTTGTGTATTTTTTATACAGAAAATATTTGGGAAAATTATATAAATTCATCATTAAATATTCCCATAAATTCTCAACCCCGGTATACCAATTCCATTGCATACGACCATTTGAAAAGAAAAGTATTGCCGGTGACTGCAGCACTTCGGAGTATACTGGGGCTAATAAAAATTAAGACCACTTCTTTGGATCCTGTTTTTGATTGCACTGGAGCCCAAAAATCTGCACAAAAAAATATCATAATTTTGACGCAATATCCTAAAATATTTAAACTTGGCGTATAAATAAATTTAACACAAGAGAGTTTCCGAAGATTTTTACATAGAATTGGCAAACAATCGCAAAATAAAATAAGGCACACGCCGCCGCCAGAATTCACACAGAACCTCATTTCTTTTGTTTGCTGCAGCCGAATTTCTAATTGGCATGGAAAAAAAAATCTTGGAGAAAAATTACACATATATCTATATCGGAGAAGTTTCTATTTAAGTATAGTTCCAAATTAATTACATAATTATGCACGCCTAAAAAACTTATATTAAACACATTTTTCTTACATTTAAGGTATATATTAAAAACCCCCTTAATTAAGTTCCACCCTAATACACATTGAATGCACGAAAAGTTGCATTAGATCAAACCATCAAATTTACAAGCTTCAGAAATGCAGATTATTAAGAATATACATGTGATTGCATATCTAATGTAAAATGTTCGATCAAACATCATTAGTATGATCATCACTCAATACACATGATACATCATCAAACCAACATCATTATTACAACAAGCAATTCTTTGGAGGCCTTCAACGTTTCTGCTGCTGTTTGGTGAGTACATTTGTAATGAGAATGTAAATATTTAAATTGTGCTTTGCTTTTGACACTGCCTATTTTGTGTTGTTGTAATTGCTATTGATTTTCTATACATTCGTCTGCTATTTCTGATCTTTGAAACATTTATAATGATTGGTTATTAGGGTTACCAACAATTGTTGAAATTTTAGAAACAAATATTTGTTGTTACATATTTATTAAATTATAAATAAAATTATTGGGAAAAAAAATGTTTAAAAAATTATATTCTAGAAGTTCAACAATTGATAGTTAAACAAGCTTACAGATTATTTAGAATAAACATGTATAATTTCTTTTTATATTAAGTTGAGTTTAATAGTGAAAGTTTTCGCTTTTTTTATATTAATTATTGTTAAATTTTCTTATACGAAATTAAACATAGACATAATGATTTGAATAAATATAAGGTATTTAAGATGAATTGGTAAATTTAAAGGAAATTGTGTTTTCATACTGACGATGAGGTAGGATTAAACTAGGTCGAAACCAATTATGGGGTCCTATAATAAAATTTTCTGCGCTAATTGGACCAAGGTAAGGGCGGGTAAAGATGCGTAATCTCTCAAAACATCAGAGAGATATATTATTAGTTGAAGAGGGGAATACAGTTAATTATAGCGGGGTAGTTAAATATTTCCATCCATTAATTTTTTTTTTAATTCATATACTAATTTTATTCAGTCACTTCTTTTGATTTCTAAAAAGGGAGTCTACAATAATTTTTTTGTAATAAGACTATTTCGGTGGAGAAGGACGAGAACCCCCCTCCCGACTGAAGCATAGCTGTTCAATGGCTCCCGCAGTCCTCTTTCCAACCGAACCAAGGTAGAAACACCTTACCAACAGTCGTACCATTGACTGTCTTAGCCGAACATTACAGAAATGGCGCCCAACGTGGGGCCGAGGAGTACTATATGTGCTTTTACGGCCTATTTGCTATTAATTTTTCATAGAGCTCAATTAAATAAATGATTTCCGGAATTTGAGGTTAAACTTTATATTGAAGAATACTTTGGAGAAGTTATCTGGATTTTCAATTGCATGAGGTCAAAAGGTTCGAGTATATTGACCGATAACGAGCTTCAAAACTTTTCTTTGATTTTGTATAATCTTCGTTTTTTTAAATTATTTATTTAAATTGTTGGTAGAATTTGTGTTATCATTAATCTGAGTCTTAGATATCGAATCTTGAATATTATTCGGATTACATTGTTGTTTTGCTGTTTGCACTCAATGTCCAATAATATGTCAAGCTATAGAGAAAAAAAAAATTAAAATTCGTTTTGAATCGATTACATGATAAGCTCATTTTCACCATCATTTTCATAGCCCGGTTGTTGTATCAGGTATTCAGCTCCTTAACTGAAAAATCCCTAGTCCTCCAAATCTAAGTATGAAAACACACAAAATTTAAGAACTTGTTAAAATTTTTTTTGTTTTCATATATATATATATATATATATATATATATCATTTATATGGAAATATTGCAATGGCTTTATCTAGAACTCCACCGCTATTTCAACAAGGTGGTAATGATTTACATGAAACTTGTACTATATGTACAGAAACATTGAATGATATAAATGATTGCCTCTTTCTTTCACACTGTGAACATTCTTTTCACCGTGATTGCATTGAAAAACATTTATCAAATTCTACTACTTGTCCCACATGCAAACGTACATGTGAATTGTCCGACCTGCGCTCAATAAATAGTCAGGGTCAAATGCTACAAGAAAATCAGAGTGAGGTTGCTAATCAGACAGCTCAAAACGTTCATGGTCAAAAACCTAAATCTAAGTATAATAGTCGCAGAGGTCGTGGTGCCCTTTCAAAACATTACAACACTCGAAGTAGACAATTATATCAAGATACAAATCTGTCATTAGCATTAGATAATTTAGACAATATGTCTGCCACAGGTGAAGAAGTTTCTACACCCAGAGCATAGGGAGTTGTAAATCAAAATCAAAACACTCCCCAAAACCAGAATAGAACTTATATGAGTCAAAACACACAGAATGATATTGATTATGCAAAAATCAACCAGATGATAGAAGCAAATATTACAAAACTGCTCCAAAATTTGAATCTAAGTCAAGGTCAGAATAATTCTGTTTCACATAACCAAAATGCTCATCTATCACCTTCTCAAGCAATAAGCAACAACAATAATACTGATATAAGATCAAATTCTAGAAACTGTTCGACGAATAGTCCGATTTATAATGGCTTAGGCAGCGATAAAATAGCTTCGATTATTAAGAATTGGAATCTGCACTTTGACGGATCTACTCAAGGTCTTAGTGTAGAAGAATTTTTATATAGGGTAAAATCCCTTACTGCAGATAACTTTGAAGAAGACTATTCTCTAATTTGTAAACATTTGAACATTTTGTTAACTGGGAAAGCCCGAGAATGGTTCTGGCGTTATAGAAAACAGGTTCAGAACATAGTATGGGATGATTTTTGTAGCGCAATCCGTTATCAATACAAAGATTTTAAATCCGATTCCGACATTAGAGAAGAACTTAGAGCCAGAAAGCAAAAACACGGAGAATCCTTTGAGTGTTTCTATGATTCTTTCTGTGCGATTTTAGATCGATTATCATCGCCTATTGAAGAGACAGAATTGGTTGAAATAGTGAAACGCAATTTACGCCCTGACATACATCATGAATTACTGTATGTCCCAATTTTCTCTATAGCTCATCTGCGTAAATTAGTGCAGATGAGAGAAAATCTGTTTAAAGATGAAAATTCACGACGTCCGATTTCAAGTAGACAAATGATGGGAAATACATATCCCAATAAAAATGTATCTGAAGTGGAATTCTTTCATGATCCCATTACGGATTCTCATCCACAAAATGAAATATCCGTAGATGCAATTAATGTTGCTTCTGCAGCTCTCAAATGCTGGAACTGCAAAGAACCAGGGCATTTCTGGGAGGATTGCTTGAAAGAGAGGAATGTGTTTTGCTACGGATGTGGTGCTGAAAACACATACAAACCTAATTGTTTAAAATGTACTACTAAAAGAATTTTCGGTACAAAAAACTCCAACCAACAACATTCAAAAAACTAAATAACATTAATGATCCAAATGAGACAAATAAAAATCAAGACCTAACAAAATCCAATATTTTAAATAATCGTCCAATAACACTTTTGAAGAGGACAGATTTTAATTCTCAAAACCATATCAATCATTATCCTTATCCAATTCGTCCTTATCATCAAAGATGGTCGGAATATATAAAGAAAAGAGATGAGATTTTTGAAAGCTCTGCTATCTTTTTAGAGGCAAATAAGAATCCAAAGCGATCAACAGTTAGACTTCGTAAATATTTTAGAGAAAGAAAAATTGGTTCCAAATATATTATTTCCAGTATCGTCAATGGTCCACAGGATCAAAGACTTTACGCAAATGTATCATTTTTAACGCAGAATGATTTTTCTAATTTTAAAGAATTCCATGACTTTAGATCTAATGTAAGAACTGCTGACGGAAAACGACAAAAGGTCAAAGGGTTTCTCGATGTGGATGTTTGTTTCCGTAACCAAAAACAAAATCTAAGGATATTAATCGTTCCATCATTAAGTCAGCGTCTCATACTCGGTTTAGATTTTTGGAAGAAATTCCACCTTGCTCCCAATATTTTTGATTCTGTGATAATTTCTGGTCCATCCGATTCTAACATGTCCGCTGTATTGTCCGAGATGTCCGTTTTGAAGTCCGAATTGTCGTCCGATTTAGAAAATAAGAAATCTGAGAAATCAGACCCTAACTCTTATCCTTTAACTCCTATCCAGCTTCAACAATTGGAAACTGTCAAATCTTTATTTCCAAATTTTCAGAAGCAAGGACTAGGTAGAACCAGCCTGATTAAGCATGATATTGACGTTGGTGATGCCAAGCCTGTCAAGCAAAGGTTCTACCCAGTATCGCCTGCAGTTGAAGATTTGATATATAAAGAGATTGACAGAATGTTGGATTTAGGAGTTATAGAACCATCCATTTCGCCATGGAGTAGCCCGATGAGATTAGTCCTCAAGCCCAATAAAGTCCGTCTGTGTTTAGATGCACGGAAATTAAACTCCGTCACTATAAAAGATGCATACCCCTTACCAAATATTGAAGGGATATTCGCCCGTTTGCCCAAAGCCAATTTGATATCCAAGATCGATTTAAAAGACGCCTTTTGGCAAATCGGCCTAACAGATCAAGCAAAACCTCTGACAGCGTTCACAGTCCCTGGTAGACCCTTATACCAGTTCGTGGTCATGCCATTCGGACTGTGTAACGCTCCTCAGACCATGTGCCGCTTGATGGACGAATTAATTCCTGCTGATTTAAGAAGATGTGTGTTTGGTTACCTCGATGACCTAATTGTCGTTTCTGAGGATTTTCCAACCCATTTAATGATCCTAATGAGGATAGCCGAACAATTTAAAAATGCAAATTTAACCATAAATGTGTCCAAAAGTAATTTTTGCGTCACAGAGACGAAGTATTTAGGGTTTGTAATTGGTCACGGAGGCCTTAAAACCGACCCAGAAAAAGTCGAATGCATTGGCCTATTCCAAGAACC